TACTGCACCAAGTAACTTAGAACTCAGACTTATTTTATTTAAGCCATAATATAAATACTGTTTTGTGCCTGTTAAGAAAAATTCTCGAACTACAAGGAAATTTGAAACTCAGTTCACCTCACACTTCTAGTTAACAAAGCACCAGATGGAGGAGGAGGAGGAGACCCCTGGAGGCCTCTCAGCCCCTGGTGCTGACAGCCAGGCAGGGCCGCAGGGGGTGGGGGGGCTTGGAGGGTCTCCCTGACCGCATGGGGCCGGCTGCTACCACAGGCCCTCAAGCAGCCTCCGACCTACGAGCCCCAGGAAGCGTACGAGGCTCGTGTGCGCCTGGAGCTTACAGGGATGCTCATTTCGGGCTCTCCTCCTCCAGGTCAACCCACCCGCACCTTCCACCAGCCCCCTTCCCGCAGCACGAGGCACCCTGATCCTCGTGGCCCTGCAGGGCTGTGTGTGCAGGGCTGCCTGCGCTTCCTTCTAAGCCAAGTCCCTCCTCCTTCCCATCCGCAGGCAACGGCCGAGGTCTGTCCAGGACTTGAAAAGCGGGCCATGGGAGCAGAAATCCACACGTGCGGGACGCATAAACGGGGAGATGACGCCCTACCCGACGCCCCACCGCCCAGTGAGCAGGCCGTCCTGGGCTACTCCTCCCAAAACTGACTGTAAACGCGATGGCCTGCAGCCCGCATCTCCCCTAAAAGTTACAGAAAATAGAAGCCGGCGTGTACGGATCAATATACATTAACTTTCTCTGACTGGGTCTTCGTTTTCAAAGGACAGCTGATTCCTCGACACCCGACACCCTTACTGAGCGGTTCTGCAGCAGGAAAGAGCAGCCTGACCAGACTCGCAGCCCGGGCTGAGTCCAGCAACTCTGTAATTCTCATTTCTTTTTTATCAGCAGTGCTCTTGGTTTTACCCTACAAACTCCTTTTTCACTTCACTCATACCTGTTTACTGAGCATCTGCCATAGACAGAAGACGCCGTGGTCCCTGTCCTCAGAAGCCAGAGTCTAAAAGAGTGACAGACAAGCGTGGCCCTCAGGATCTGGTTCGGAAAGGCTCTGGGCTTCACCACGTGGCCTCCTGACGGCCTCAGAACGACAGGAGAGGTGACTCCCCAGTACTCCCAGGTCGCAGCTGACTCGGGGTCCCCTGCTGTGTGACGCCGTGTGTCCACCCATCTGAGGAGGAGGTCCACCCACCTGTCCACGTGGTCAGCAGGAGGACACGGAGTCACAACCTACCTGAGGTTCAGTCACAAAGAGCAAGACCATGACTCTGACCTAGGCCCCCTCCACCTAAGCAATCGGTCACTGGCTGGTAACGGTCAAAGGACCACCTCCTAAATGCCTGCTCCCACACATCCCCCCACCAGGACAAGCGCTCTGACAGTGACGCAGTGGGCGTTAACACTGACCTAGCCCGTGGAGGGCTTTTTCCTTCCCGCTGCAGGTGCCCCACTAGGGGCAAGAGGTCTTAGCGTCTCTGCTTCGAGACACAGCATCTTAAAACTGCTTCCCACTGGAGGCCGCTGGTTCTGGTGAGCCTGCTACGTAGGTGTTAGTTTCCGGGTGTGACCTGCTCCGGGCTCAGGGGCCCAGTGCCTGCACACCTGAGTGCCCACGTGTCTCCTCCAAGCAGCCGAGCTCTCTAAGCAGATGTCGTCCAATATGAATACAATGTGAGCCACGTAGGGAGTTTTAATGTTCCATCAGCCATATTAAAAAAAGGTTATCATTAATTTTAATAATATATTTATTTAACCCAATATATGAAAAGTGTTATTTCAACATGTAATCAATTAAAAACAATTATAGATGAAACATTTCACGTTCATTTGTCTTACTGAAGTTTTCAAATCCAGGGTGTATTTTGTGATCCACCTGGGCGAGCCTCATTTCAAGTGCCCCGGTCACGGTGGCGGCCCGGCTGGCACTGCCCGCCCGTCTCCTCCCTCACACAGCAGACATTCACGCAGGGGCCAAGCCACTTCACCGTGTCTCTAAGAAGAGCAGGAACCAGGCTCTCTCTGCAGAGAACTGACGCCCGTTTCCCCAAAGCAGAAAGTGAGGAGACGAGGAGGTTTTCCCAGACTTCGTTTTGCTTCCTCTGCGGCACCTCCTGCTCCGATTCCCTCGCGGGCCAGGGGTGGGCCACGGGGACCAAGGGCGTCGTCACAGCAGGGGCAGTAAAGTGCGGGAGAGGGCGCTCGGGGCCGGATGGAGGCGGGTGAGTGCGTGCTGGACAGCAGCTCTGAGTCCCCTCACCCCTGGAACTGCAGGGAACAGCCAGGGACCCCTTCTCCTGAGCCCTCGTGTTGATGGGCCGTGAAACCCCCCTGCCCCTCCCTCCTGCCCTCCCTCCAACTTTGTGAGCTTGTGCTGGCTTCCCGGGTGGAGCGCAGAGCCTAGTACATACTTCATGATGGAACTTCAATGCATCAACCTCTTCAAACCTGCTGAGGCCAAGCAGGAAGTCCCACGTTTGAGACTTTAATTATCTCAGAGCCAAACTTCACACATAACGGAGGGCACACACCTGGAGGGAAGGTGCAGCAGGAAGGCGGGAGGACCAGAAACCAACCCCATAGCCTGGGGGTGGCAACCTGCACACACCTTTGAGGGGCCACAGCCTCCCAGCCTGGGGGATGCCTGCTCTCTGGTCACTTGCCCCTCCCCCCACCATCTTGCAGAGAGGCTCCAGCTCCACATGCACCCCCCGCATACGACGGCGATCACCCTGGGCTCCCCACGTGCCTTTGCATGCCCCACGGCTGAGGGTGCACATGCGGGCCTCAGTGCTGACTCTCATCCCCAGGGGCCTCCAGTAAGTTGCTAGCACGTCTCCGGCTGGGATCTCAGTGTGAAAGTGGACAGAGCGACAGCCGCCTCACACGCTGCGGGGCCTGGTGAGGACCCACGCACAGTCTTCAATACCCGACTGAACCACAGCAAACGCTCACTGAACACGACCTGTTGTCAAAGCAGTAACACGACTTTCAACCGGAACAACCTCCTCCTCCACCTGCCACACTGTCACCCCATCAGCAGGGCAGGCCCTTCCGCACAGCTCAAGACCACGGGCAACGCTGGCCGCCAGGTGACACAGGGGCTCACCAGGAAGAGGGGAGACCTGCTCACGTGCTAACTGCTCACTTAGTTTTAAAAACATCTGTATGGAAGCTCAGCAACACAATGAACAGGTATGATCTGATACATTCTGACACACTCAACACCTCTGAGACCACCGCCTCAGCTAAGGGACAGATCCCCACCCAAAAGCCTCCTCCTGCCCCTCTGAAATCCCACCCCCACCCCGGGCAACCACGAATCTGCTTCTGTCACCACACGTAAGTTCTCATCTAGAATTTCATACTCATGGAATCACACAGCACGTACCTTCAGGTCTGACTCGGCTCCCTCAGCGCTCAGCCAGCTGCTGCATCTACAGGGCTTCCCTATGAAACGGGCTTTCGCTTCTCCAGGGTGAGCACCCGGGAGTGGACCGGCCGGGTCTACACGGCCAGCACACAGGTAACACGCTAAGATGCTGCCGGACTGTTTTTCTCATCCCACCATCGGCGAGGAGAGCCCAGCCCCCACACTCTCGTCAGCACGTGGTGTGGTCAGTCTTTCTAATTTCAGCCACTGTTAGGAAATGGTTAGCGGTGTCTCACTGTGTCTTTTTTTAATGGAAAGATTCTTTAAATTCTACAGTGCTTCATAGTTTTCAGAAGTTTTACACACATGATCTCCTACAATCCCGTACCCACCCCGTCCCCCTCACCCCTACTTCACCGCCCCTTCCCTCTCCCCGAGGGTAACCACTGATTTGTTCTCGGCATCTGTGCGTCTGCTTCCTTTCGGTCTTATTCACTAGTTTGCTGCATTTCCTGCATTCCACAGATAAGTGACGTCACACAGCATTTGTCTTTCTCTGACCTGTTTCACTCGGCATCATGCCCTCCAGGTCCACCCGTTGCTGCAAGCGGCTCGGGTCGTCCTTTTCTGGGCTGAGTAGCGTCTCCCTGGTGGCTGGTGACTGCGATTGTCTTCTCACGTGCTTATCTGCTCTCTCTATGTATTTACTCTCTGGTGAAGCGTCTGATCCAATCACTGGCTTCTTGCGGGGGGTGCTTTTTTTAATACTGAACTTTGAGAGCTCTTTACTTATTCTGGAAACAAGTTACCCAAAAGACATGTGATCCGCTAACATTTTCTGCCAGTCTGTGGCTTGTCTTTTCATTCTCTTAACTGTATCTTTGAAGGAGAATTTTTAAACTTGATGAAATCCCATTTATGCATTCTCTTTAATGGACTGTCTTTGATGTCATTAAGAAATCTCTCCCGAACCCGAAGTCTCAATGTTTTGTTTCTTTGAGAGGTTTTCTAGCACTGGATGTAAGTCCATGATTCACTTTGAGTTAATTTTCATCCGTGGTGTCACGTACACCTCTTCCATACGGATACCCAACTGTTCAAGCACCTAATTCATTCAATTTAGTTTTGCATCTTCATTTTAAAGTCTTTCAACGTACAAAGAGTTGCAAGAACAATACAAAGAACTGGATGCCCTCGTCCAGCTTCTCCACCCCTAACTGTGACACCCCTGCTCTGTCACCTCCACTATACACAAACATTGGCATTTCTGTTTCAATTGTGTGGCCTCACCTTTATCTGTATCATCTGCTGGATTCCCAGCTAAGATCTGATTTGGAAAAGGGGCTCGCTCTCCTGCTTTCAGTGAAAGAAGCTGGAGAGATTTTATTCTCCAGAACGGGAACCATCATCTCCAGGACCTTAACCCCTTCTGCGGAACATGGGAACGAGCCTTGAAAGAAAACACCCTTCTCTGGGTCAATTTGTTCTGAAAACCAACTCCAGGCTTAAAAAAGAGATGGGCAAAACTGTAACAAAAACCAGGTTATTAAAAAAGAAACCTTAAAGAAATTTAAATATTCTACTTTAAAAATTGACAAGGATCAATTACATTAAAATTACCTTAATTCAGAAGTGCTTCTGGTCTGGTCTCCAAAACATGTAAAAGTGTCTGCAACAGAGAAAAGGCCGTATTTGCATTGATTCGGGCTGTGAGGCACAATATTTCATACATTTTGAGAAGCACATAAATCAACCCCCTCCCTGTCACCATTTCTTGTCTCCAAGTCGCTTTATTTATTAGTAATTCGTATTAACTTGTGTTTAGTTTCTCAGTGTGGAAAAAAAGAAGAAATCTGATCTAAGTTTCTTTTTAAAAATTCTTAGAAATGCCTCAGGGAAAATACCTTGAATTAAACCTTGAAAAGTATCGGGCGAAGGGGTGTTCAGACTCCTGTAACAACAGAAAAATCACTGTCACTCAAGAAGCTCTAAGAGTGGTCTCACCCAGACTTGCCCTCTGGCAGGCAGGAGATCTCATCTGAATCTCAAAGGAGCCCCTGGGCGTCTCCTGAGTGCCAGCCAGGGCCAGTCCTCCAGCCACCCAGTCACCACAGTGTCACCCAAAGCTGTGACCCCAGGGTCCAGGCCGCGGGAGCAGAAGACATCACAGCGAAGCCTTTGGACTTGCCACTCAGCATACTGCAGCCCGCACAAAACATACTTAACTCCAGATTTCTTCTGAAATATCTCCTTGTCCTTCCCCAGAAATGAGGCTTCAGTATCTTTAAAGATGCTTTGGTAATGTCTCCAAATCACACCCAGTGTGAAAAGACCACTTCTGGACATCGCACAGGTTCTCACCTGCCTGCTGATTAGTCCCCTGCCTACCACGTTCACACTCACGTGCACGCGTCTCACCTGGGGGCCACGAGAGGCGTCAGCAAGCTGAAATGTCCCCCAGCTGAACTGTGAATTTACTTACTTATTACTAACTTATTTAACAAAACAGGTTTACTAAGGAAGTACGCAGTTTATGTTACAGGCAAACACACGCTTCTCTGGCAGTGGAAGTGGGTGTGCGAAGAAAAGTCTGGTGGCTCCTCAGAAAGTAAATGGAGCACAGAGTCACCGTGTGGCCAGCAACTCCACTCCCATCTATGTTCTCAGGAGAACGGAAAACAGGGACTCAACAGGTGGACACGCATGTTCACAGTAGCACCATTCGTGATCGCCAAAAGGCAGCAACAGCCCGAAAGTCCGCCCGTGGATGAAGAGAGAAGGCAACGCGGGGCGCCCACACCACAGAGGACTGTTCACCCATAACAGGGATGAAGCACTGACAGACTCACACAGAGGGCCCCTGAAGACACTGCTGCGTGATGAAGCCAGACACAGAAGGTCACACAGCCTGCAATCCTATTTAAATGAACTACCCAGAACACAGACAGAACGCAGTGGTCGCCAGGGGCTCTGTGTGCAGTGAACAACGGCTCAAAGGACACGGGGCTCCTCCTGGGGTGACGAAATGTTCTTGAATTAGGTAAAAGCAGTGGTTGCACAACACGGAATATATTAAAATGCCACTGAGCTGTTCACTTTAAAAAGGTTTTGCTATATAAATTTTATTGGGGGGTGGGTAGGGGCAGGAAAAAGTGCTGTTACAGATACCTAAAATAACAAACGAAACCTGTGGGTGTGGGTGTGGGTTTGGGAGCTGGAGGTCAGTGCTCACCTTCCCCTGAACCGTCTGAGGCGAGCTCCTAGGGAGGCAGGCTCAGGGCTTCCACCGATTACTCAGTGTGAAAGCCTGGAGTCGGGGTGGGGTGTAGCTCAGCGGTGGAGCATGTGCTTAGCATGCATCAGGTTCTGGGTTCAATCCCCAGCACCTCCATCAGGTAAATAAATAAACCTAATTACCCCCCAAAAAACTAAGAAGGGCTAGTTTCTATAAACCTCCAGTTACGAAACAAGTAAGACGTGGGATGTGACGCACAACACAAGGAACACGGTCAGTAACACTGCAGTAACCGCGTGGGGCCAGAGGGTTCCCAGACTTACCATGGGGATCATTTCACAACGTATGCAAATGTCACCAGGCAAATGTCACCATGCAGTACCCCTGAAACTAACACAACCGTACACCAACTTACTCCAGGTCACAAAAAGGGCGACAGTTTCACATGGGCCTGTGTGACACGGGCAAAGTCCTGGAGCCACACCCACAGGACTGGGCTCCGCCGCTCAGCGAGCAGAGCTGAGGCAGGGCATGCGGCTGCCTCCTGCCCCGGGGTCAGAGGTGAAAGCAGGTGCTGATCGGAGTCTGTCCGGCCCTGTCTCCCAGCCCAAAGCACAGAGGCCACTGGACGACAGCCGGAGGACTCTGCCATCTTAAAGACCGCGCGCACCACGGTGCCCTATCACCCAGGAGGCTCTGCTCCTGCAGCTGCATCATGTTAAAACCCTTAGAGCAGTTTCTCAAGGTGGAATAATTATGTCAAAGATTTTGCACTTTTTTAAGGCTCTGGATAAAATCAACCAACCTACGTTCTGCTTCAGTGTAGCTGTCAGTGCAGCAGCGCTAACTGTTCCCACGATGAGCTTCTCTGCACACACACATCCCAGCACATCATGAGGCTTTCAGTACCACACAGTGTTTTTATGAGGATTGTTATTTCAGTATTTTTCAAAATCTAAAAACTGAAATCCTCTTAAGACACACCTAGAAAGCCCCTTCACTGGCGGCACCACCATTTCAAGTAAAGCAGAGGCACTCGTGTGGGGAATGCGGTCCTCCATGTCCCCAAAGCCTCAAGACAGCAGGAGCACACGGGCGCACCACTGCTCATCTGCACCTCTCAGGTCCCAAAGCAGACCGGACACACACGAGGGCTGTAGTCTGCATCCTCTTCAGCGTGGATACGTGTGGATTCTAACACGTGCTGGGAGGTGTCTGAGTATAATCCGCAGGGGGCACTGTGTGTGTGCGACACAGGCACCAGTCTCTCTCTAAACCCTGAGAGGGGCCACAACACACCCAGTCCTCGGAACTTTGCATAAAGGACTGGGGGCGCGTCAGAGGCACAGCAGACGTCTCACTTCTGCGTAATTCTCTAGTACAGAAGCGTCCTGAAGAGACAGCACGTGAAAGGACAACGTGATGAAACGACCATGTGAAGGAGGCCCCGGCCAAGTTCAGGAATAAATGTGAAGGTAAAAGGAGTGATAACTGTAACAGAGCATTAGTTACTGAAGAGTCACAATAATAACAGATACATACAACAGAGAAACAAGAAAGGAAAAAGCCTTTCTTTACAGAGAAATGCAAACAAATGCAGAAGGGGCGACAGACTTGGAAAACCACCACCTGGGGCCTCCAGAGCAGCCACGGACGCAGGCAGACCTTCCGTGGTGCTGAAGGTGGTGGGTGACAGTGCATGAAGTTACAAGACACTCCCCAGGACTGGAAGCATCACTCACAGATCATCTCCTGACCATCGAAAAAGAAGCTATTACAATGAGCAGATCCGGTGGGCACCACCTGGAATCAAGCGATTACACGTAGTGTCACCAGTGTCGGAACAAACCAGCACGATGCGACAGAATGAGAAGCACAGGCCACCAGAGGGGCATTCCTGCCAAAAACACTCGGCCTCATCCAGCCGTGAGGAAACAAGTTACAAAGATCTCGAGTGTGAGACGTTACAGGAAACTGACCTGAACTCTCCAAAAAGGTCACTGTCACGACAGGCACGGCGTGAAGACCACTCTGGATGCGTGAGCCCTGGGAGTCGTGACCAC